CCCCCCCCTCCCCCAAGTTTACTTAGTTGAATATAAATCAATAAAATTAAAACTCAAAATCTTAGAGCATCTTTTCAGATTCCTGACAGGCACATTATATGGACTTTTTGAAATAAGAACAAAAAGCCAAGTTTGAAATTGAAACTGAAATTCTGTTTTACTTTTTTTTTAAGGGGGGGGAAATGTGTTTGAGTGCTGAATTTCTGGTTTTTATATATATTTATATATGTGTGTGTGTGTGTGTGTCATTTAAATAAAATTAGTATCTTTCAAACTTCTTGGTATTGTTCAGCAAGCTTAAGTGAATCCCAGTGGTGAGGGAGCTCCCCTTGCCCCCCCCCCCCCAAAATTATAATTTGAGAAAATGGACTAATTGCTTACTTGGAATTACACATCTTGTCAAGCATCCTTAGGTTATTAAAGATGGGGGTCAAGTAAAGGAAACTTTGGTTCCTCAGCATACTTGCTTGCATGATGAACCACTGTGTGGGCATGCACACGCGTACACCTGTGCAGCTTCTACTTTTTAAAGAAGCACAGTCAACCTGGAGTCAACTTCCAGGCCGAGATGTTTGAAGTTAATTCTAGGCGATTTCATTGCCGTTGAATTCTTCTGCCAGTCTCTGGCAGGTGCGGACTCCTTGTGTACTTTTCAAAATCAGCTTGAGAATCCCAACAGAAGAAAGTGAAGTATGTAGGTGTTTGTAAACCAGGGGCCTAATATCCTGTCTTGTAGTTCTGGTTTGGTATGTGCCTCACTGTGCCGAGGGACTGGATTCTGGCATTCGGTGCCTGGACAGTGGAGAAGTGAGCGCAGCTGGATACCAAATCCTGCAAAAGTATACAGCAGTGGAAGGAATTAGGTGCCAGGCTAGTTAATGTTTCTTCTAGCTTAGGTTAAGAATTTCCAGTAGTAATGGGTATAGCAAAAGCATCTTAATAGAAATTGGATTTAGCCAACTTTTAAAATCCTTGAAGTAAATAAATATATAAAAATTGTAAATCCTGTCCTGTATTTAAAACTGTGCACTGCCCTTGTGTAGTTCTGTTTTTACCTGGTTCTCTGTCACAGCTTTGCTCTTGTAACATAGAAATCAAAATAAAAGCAGAATGAGCAGCTGCAGAGATCGAGCAACACTAGTTCACTAGTAGTGTCTGGGTGAGTTTATTTTGGTTTGTTTGTTTATTTTTTTTTTTAAGGAGGAAAGAGTGCTTTTGTGGGAGAGGAATTAAAACCTGTTTCATTGAAGGATCAGTGAAAGTTACCTTTTTAAATGTCTAATGAAACCAGGGACTCCTTGTCTTGACTGTGGTGTTTGAGCATTTCAGATGTCCATTTGAACAGATCTGGCTTAGCTGCACCAGCTGTGCCCTCCCCTGTGCTCTGTGTTTCTGCTCCCGCCTTGTAGCAGCGCAGTTACCTGTTTTTCTCCTGGTGGAGAGCCAGCCCAATGAGCTGAACCAGCAGAAAACTCTTCACTTTTGTTTTTGCTGGGCTGTTGGCAGGACGGTAGGTGGGATTGCGGCACTGATTTCAGATTGGCCTGGGCTATTACGAAGCCAGACATTTAGGCCT